AGTAGTAGTAGTAGTAGTAGTAGTAGTAGTAGTAGTAGTAGTAGTAGTAGTAGAAGTAAATTAGAAATCTCGTAACCTGAACACGCTCAGTCCCCCCAAAAAAAAACATATTACAAGATTTCTAATTTACTCTCTTACCCAGGTATTTCATACTACCGCTCAATGACCCCCCCACACCAAACGCAAAGAATGGAAAAGACCCCGTTGACATACATCTATTGGTTTGCCTTGACTTTGATTCCACCTCGGTCAATTGCCACGTAGTCGTACCCATTCACAGCTGGATAAGCCAAAAGAAAATTGGGGAAAGTTCTTTCGTCTTGGTATACTTCACCATTTTGTTCAAAGGAATTGACAACCGCATTAGCTATCATGTGATAACGCATTAAAGACGAAAAACCAATTTTGTTATCCTTTTAAATCAACATGGAAGTCAAGAATCAGAACACATGGGTAAACAAAAGAGTAAACAATATTTGAATATTTGAAAACCTTGAGAATAACTGTCATAATATTTACCAGCAGCTCAGTTTGAGGAGCTGACAATCTCAGGTGTAGTTAATCACGTTCTCTGTTTATCGAGGCGTTAACAGGTTATTTTTAGAGGGTTATTTTAGTTAACGTGTCTAAAAGTAGTTCAACTCTGTAAAAACATTGGCCAGTCTAGGCAACATAATTGATCTTCTAAATCAGAGCATCAAACTTGTTTATTCATAAATTCCTTACCGAAGCGGAATTTAACCCATAACTGCATGACCCCACCACCCTCTGCCATTTCACCGCCCACCCTCTTTTTCTCTTCTTTCTTTGCCACTCTTGGCCTTCAAACCCTATCTGAGAAATGAACGGGTGCACGCTTTGGGTGTGTCGCCAGCCAGGTCGATAAAGTTCTCCGCTACGAGACAGGCGTTGCGAGTACGAATTCCAGAAGCGGTACTTGTTTCGCAGTTTATGTAGAGAGATGGCATTACCTCGACAACAGAACCTATTATGAATGCCCCTCTCATAGCCAACACCCATCCCCCCCCCTTTTTTTTTAAAAAGATAAAACCACCAAGAAATGAGACTAAAAGACCAAAAAGCAAACAAAAAAGCAACAACAACAAAAACAAGCAAACAAATAAAACAAACAAACAAACAAACAAACAAACAAACAAAGCCAAACGAGCGAAAATCATATCTTGTCAAAAGTGCCATAAAAGTGAATTTGATATGGTTCAAATGTTAAAGATCAGCAGGTTTATAGGATTCTTACCTTTGGTTCAGTGATGATGTTCCCGGTCAGAACCACCAGCCTTTGCCAGAGCAGGAGAGCTTGAAGAAGACTCCACAACAACCACACACTTAGAGACGCACAAGCCGAGTGACTTGATGACAGACAGCTGGTCTAGAATTGTCAGTAGAATCTGTACAATCTCCAGCTAAGAAGCTACGGTGTCTGGCACTTTCCCTTCAAAACAATTGGGAGATTTCTCCCGAATAGGACTTCCACAAATCACACGACTGTCCCTTTGTCTTAGTTTAACTATTCTTTCTGTCGCAGAAGGAAACTATGTTCTTGTTGAACAATTTTATCTCATCAATATTTTGAGCGAGTTTTGCTTTGACTGATATAACGTTCAAAGCGTATTTTCCTCACGTACAGGTCTTCTGTAAATTTGTTCCAACTACCTTGATGAACTAATAGTAACTGTGTCACTCTCCCTAAAATACCAGTCTTACACTAAGTGGGAGTTTTTCTCTTTTTCCCTCAACAAGTATAAAACTGTTAATGCCTTTCCTCATTAGCGCTGATGATAGTACTCATTAATCAGTCTTCGGTTTTTTATCGTCAAGTTGTTACTGTCCGCTGCTTCTGGTGCTGTAGGGTATGGGGTTAATTTCCCGTGGCCAGCTGTCCGCACAGAGTCTCCAGCAGACTTTAGAAGTAACCTTTCCTTGTCTTGCTGTAACCTCGAGCGCCAGCAGAACAACAAAAACGACCATGATTATTCCACGAATTTAAGCGAGTTTTTGAACGCGGGGGAGGAGAGAACTAAAAGAAGAGGAGAAACAGTCCCATACAAATGCCGCCTCCGACATACGATACATGTACGCCGGCGATATTCTGTACCGGCGATACTCTGAACCGGTGTTACGTTTGAAAGGCCCACAACTAGAAAATATTCATCCCAGTAAATATTCAATGTCATTAAATTGGGTGTTGTTCATCATAATGTAGCTGTTGGTGGATGTTGGGATGAAACCTAGCACCCTTGACATGCAACGTGAGCTTTGTGCTGCTAATGAAGGCCAACTGAATACGTTTTAATACAATTTGGTTCAGTTTTCCCACACAATCTATCTCTTCTTTATGTCTGTATCTTTCTCTTTCTCTCTCTTCTATCTATCTATCTATCTATCTATCCATCTATCTATCTATCCATCTATCTATCTATCTTTCCATCTATCTATCTATCTATCTATATCTATCCCTTCCCTTCCTCCCTCTCTCCCTCCCTCCCTCTTGTAAAAGCAATAAAGTATTGGTATAAACTACTTGTAATGGATAACAATAGACATGCTATAAAATTTTAATTGCTAGCATATTTATAAAAGACTAAAACGAGCAGTACAGCTGGGCCACTGATATGAGACAACGTATATGCAGTAGGGTTTAGATAGTATAATACATTTTTTTCTCTCAAAATGTTAGTAATAAGAATATAATCCTATCTCGAGTCAAGGAACGACTGGCAAGCATTAACCAATGAGACTGGCATTATAAGGTGCCTAGTCTTCCATCCTACTTTTATAAATGTTATTCTGTACCTCTTTTCACCATCCCTGCAAAATGTTTTAAAAAAAAGGTCAGAATGTTCAGCTTTTCTCTGGAAAATGATTTCTTCTGCTTGGGAATTTTCGATAGCATTTTATTTTGCAACCAGTGTATTGAGAAGTACGTTGGAAACGAATTTCAAGTATTGATCGGATGCTCAAGATACAATGAAGTACGAGAGCAACTCTTGACAAAGAGTATTAGATTTCAAAT